CCACCACTCCCTGGGATTAAAGGCTGGCTTTCTGGGATTAAAGGCGTGTGCCACCACCGCCACACTCTTGCTATGGCTCTAATAGCTCTGACCCCCGGACAACTTTATTTATTAACATACAATCAAAATCATATTTCAGTATAATTAGATTACAACCACAGTGGAACCCAAAAGAAAGTGAATGCCAAATACCAAGACAAGGCAGGACAGTCCTTCAAAATTTCTGCTTCACAGAAAAGTCTATCAGATATTCCAGGTCTGTAGGCCGAAGATGAATGCCCCAGTGTTACAGAGGAACCTTGGGTGTTTGTCCAGGAGGCCAGCTGTCTCTGTCATTTCTTGGTTTTGGAAGTTGTTGCTCTGCACTTCCTGTTTACCCAGGTAATATCATATTCTTCTCAGGACTCTGACAGAGTTGAAGATTGGATAGTTATAGTTATAGTATTCCTTGTTACCAGATTCAGAAAAGAACTCACAAAAGAGTTGTAAAGCGTATAAGCTTGAGAGACAAAAAGTATAGTTTTGGATTGGTAATATAAGTTAGGATAGAAAGTAAATTAGGTACAACACTTTGGACTCACCACTATAGAACAGAAAATGGAATATATTCTCTGAATTTGACAAATGCAACTGGACTAGAATTTGTGAATGTAATTCTTACCTGGTATTTATTTTTAGTGTATATAATTTTATTACGTTAAAGTTAAAATCCTTCATTTTTAATTAGACAAAAGGAAGGAAATTCTGTAAAATAATCCTTTTGTATACCGTGAAGACATATTGCTCTCATGGTTACCAAAAAGCTGATTGGTCAATGACTAGGCAGGATTTACGGGACAGAATGCTGGGGGGAAAACTGGAATCAGAAGAGGTGCCATGAGACGTAGAAAGAGCAGAATGTGAAATGCATAGATGAGGTAAATGAGCCTCAGGGAAGCACATAGGTTATTAGAAATGGGTTGATTTAAGTTATAAGAGCTACCTAAAAACCAAGGCTGAGCTATTGGCCAAACATTTATAATTACTATTAAATCTGTGTAGTTATTTGGGGATTGGCTGGTAGGACAAAGCTAGTTGGCAGTCTAGACAGAAAACTCCTCCTACACAGGCCAGCCTCTGGGTGTCTTTCACCCACCTGAGGCTGAATAGCACAAGACAGGCCTGTGGATATCTTCAGACAACCAGGATTGTGAGGGCCCAGGCTGACCTGTATAATGCATTTATTTTCATTCTAAAAATAGCACATAAATTGTATTATTCAATGGGAGTCACTGTGATATTAATGCATTGCCTCTATCATGTATTGATGGTGTGCTTCCATGACTCTTTCTACTACCAGAAGTGGTGATCATGAATGATCCTTTATACACACAAGAGAAATCAGCTATTTCATGGAGGAAGGCAAGATGGAGGAAGGGACAGTTGTGGCTTTGAACTTTCTTCAGCCTCATTATTAGCTAAGCACAGTCACCATTTGTTGAGTGTTTATCCACCACTATGTGTTGAGATACTCTTAGTAGAGACGGTATTATGTGCACCTAAACAAAACTATCAAGTTTTGTGTTTTGTATGCTGAAAGGATACATGGACATTTATCAATGCCTGACCTCTCTTACTGAGTGTGACAACATTTAGTCAGATGTCCATCTCTCTGAATAAGTATGAAGGGGCTGATAACTGCATAACCAAGTGTTAGAAACTCTGGAACATATAGTAATTTGGAATAATTCTCTATGAAGAAAGTAAAATATAAAGAAATAAAACAATCTGCCCAATAGAAGAAAAGAAAACAGAGCATCAGAAGGAGGACACTCTGGGCAGCTCTCAGCTCAGGGGGAGTTCTGTAGAGAAGCTTGGCCTTCTGAAGGTAGAGGACCTGCTGGTGGTGCTTGTGGAGAAGAGATACCATGTAGCCACTGGCCCCTCCCATGGCTCCCTGAAACACTGCATCTCTCAGGACCATGAGGATGAGAAAAATCCATCTTATTATCCAGCTTTCTGGCAGAAAATAGCAATAATTGATGCCCTTTTTAATCTGTGTTATGTTCACACTGTTGATACTTTTGATGTAATATGGTAAATTCATGCTGATCAAGAAATTGAGTATCCAAAAGAAGAACAGCAAGGAAACAATGTGCTGTGGAGTCTTCAGGGTGAGCCTCTGCCACCTGGAGTGTCTGGGGCTGATGGTGATGGCCTGGACCACAGTGAGGAGACTGCTGGTACAGATGGAGAGGCCCCGGGATGTTCTTGCCAGGTAAACAACAACTTTACAACTGGTGTCATCTAAGAAGTTTCTAAAATTAAAGGCTTCTATAGTCTTCGGCATCCCTTTCGAAAGAAGCATTATGATGTTTGTGAATGCCAAGTGGGCAAGAATGAGGTGTATAGGTTTCTTCTCTGTGTTTTGGAACATGTGCATGTAACTCACAAAAATTGAGATGTTCCCCATGGTGCCAAGCCCAGTGAGACAGAAGAAGACTGTGCCCTTCACAGGGTCCAAAATCATCCTTATATCTGAGGCAGAAATACTTGACCCAGCAAGCACCTTTTTGAAGAAATCAGTAAATCATCATAAGTATCAGAAAAAAAAATTTAAAGCCACTCAGTTTTCTGGAGAATAAGGTAATGATCTATATTATTGTTCAGATTTATTGACCCAGAATTTCCTTGAAGACTTGTTTACAGAAATCTAAATTTCCAAGCTATGTGTTGAACTTAATTACATAATCTCAAATTATACTAGTAACAACAAAATCAAGATGTTGACACAAAAACCAGTTGTAGATCAAGAAGATAAAGCAGAGAGTCTAAATACAAACCAATGCAGCTTCACCCAAAACACACTGATGAAAGTGTAGCCTCAGACAGAAGGCAGAAGCTAGATCCATATTTCTTATATTTCACCAAAAAAAGTGAAAATGTGTTCAAAGCCATGATGTAGGAACTGAACCTCTGGGGATGTACGGAAAAAAAGCTCAGGGAAAACAACTCAGGGCACAGCAGGATCCTCAGAGTAAGCTCCTCTCCCAGCCTGCACTGAAGACAGCCTGCACCCATCACAGACTCCCCATTCTCCTGTTAGCTGTGTTGGAAAGGCAGGAAAAAACAGCCACAGAGCCACCTGGAAACGCTGATGTCATGTTGTCACCGAGCAGCTGCAAAGTCCACCCTGAGGATACAATCCAATCAACACCCAGCCAAACCAACTGAACACTTCTGTAAGAGGCAACAGAAATGGCCAACGAACACAGGAACAATGCTCTCTATTTTTAGCCACTGGGAACAAGGCCTTTGAAAAAAAATCAAATTATCAGCAGGCTGCCCCCTCAGGGAGGGTGCCATGTAGGAACCACGGGATTCTGCTATGGAGGGTGTTCAGAGGAGGACTGGACACCCAGTGAGTAGCTTTGGGACCTTTAAGGAAGCCTGGAGCAGTTCTAGATGTTTAGAAGTTTATTGTGTGGATTAAAAAATTAATTAGGCATGGTGTTATAAAACAAAGACATGTTCAAGTAAGAGATTTCATAAAATTCTATTTAAAAATAAATAAAGGACCTGGCACCCTCTTTTGGTCTCTGCCAGGATAAGTCGTGAAAACAGGGCACTTCCTAGCAGGCAGAGCACACAGAGAGATATTTAAAAATAAAATAAATCTTATAAAAGTAACTGGTTGGCACATCCCTGGTGTGAATTGATCGTTCACAGGAACAGTCAGGGTGGACTTTGCAGCTGCCCTGTGACATCAGGAGCAGCAGTGTTTCCAGGTGGTTCTATAGCTGTTTTATCCCTGCCTTTCCAACACAGGTAACACCACAGGAGACTGAATGTTGCAGGCTGTTCTCACTGCAGTCTGGGAGAGGATCTTGCTCTTGTAACTCTAAGAGCTTCCGTCTCCCTAACTAGGAATTCATGTCAAATGATGGGCACTTTCTACAGAGTGAAAGAGTTCAGGATGCTTCATTCAAACTTTGGGATTTGTGCATGTTTTATATTCTTGAAATGCAATTCTGCAAGCTTCCTGCCTTTCCTTTGTATAAAGTATTAAATATAGTTGTAGATCTCTGTCCTGAAGGTCTCTGACAACATGAACTATGGAGACTAGGCTTGTACCATGTGGATACAGGCATCCTCACTCTTCTAGGAATATCCGTTATTGCCTTTCATCTCCCCTGACAAATGGGGTTATTAGTACCTGAGCCATTGCATTATAGAGAGCAGAACACTGCTGCAAATTCTTAGCACATAATGAAACATGCTGCAGCACTTATAGCAACTGCAGTAGTGTAAATGAACAAGCTTGAAATAAAAACCAAGTATTTAGTCAGAGATTAGAATGTACTAAAGTGTTGACACTCAATGCATCTCAGAGTCCTGATGGACTTTTCAATTCTGTTCAAAGCCTTTCTGTCCATCCATCTGTCTGGGACTGCATGCTTCTTTCCAGCCCTCTGTTCCTTTCCACAAACCTCAATGATCATATTTAATAAGTGATGTCTCTTTTTCTGAATGAAATGAACACTGTCAGAGGAAGACGGCACCATAATACTACAGAAAGTCCTTTAGAAAAGTAGGGGTTTTTTTCCTCCTTTTTTTCTTTATTCTTCTCTCATAAAATACATCCTGACCACAATCTCCCCTTCCTCCACTCTTCCCACCCTCCACCTCCCCTCTCCCCCATATCCACTGCACCTCCATTTCCCTTCAGAAAAGAGCCAGCCTTCCAGGAATACCAACCAAACAAGATGCAATAAGACTAGGCACAAACCCTCATATTAAGGCTGGATGAGGCAGACCAGTGGGAGGAAAGGGGTCCCAAAATCAGACAAAAGAGTCAGAGACACCCACCCTTCTCACTGTTAGGAGTCCCACAAAACCCCCAAACTAAACAACCGTAGCATATATATATACATATATATATATATATATATATATATATATATATATATATATATATATATATATATATATACACACACACAGAGGACCTGGCACAGATCCGTCGCCATCTGCATGGTGGTTGCTTCAGTCTCTAGAAGCCCCTGGGAGGCCAGGGCAGTTGATTCTTTGGGCTGTGTTCTCCTAGTGCCCTTGACCCCTCTGTCTTCTAGAACTGTTCCTCCCCTAAAGAGCTGTGCATCCTAGTCTTGGGCCAGCAAATGACTACTTATCCAATAGGTATGCCAGAGGCCTGGAACCCATGGAGTCTCACTTGGCAAGGATCAGTAGACCTGGGACAGAATAGGAATTTACAAAATTCCTGCATTTTGCAGGTTCTTTTCTCTCTCCTTTTCTGGGCAGTTTTTAGTTTTACTCTGTCAGTCACACATGCAACAGCTGTAATTTTACCTGGAAATTCTGTTTTGTTTTGTTTTGTTCTTTTTAATTATTTTCCAATAAGATTCATTAGGGGACTAATGCCTCTCAAATCTCTTGTCTGGAATTGCTAACTACAACTCCTAAACCGGGTAGCTTTTCTGACTCAGTAGAGACAGTTAGATACATATGAGAAAACAGCACTTGGAACTTTAACCATGTCTCACAGTTCTGGAAAGGAGAGTAAGGAATGTGTACACAGAATAGGGAAAAAGTCTCAGGAACACACATGGTGCCTACCATTGAGAGTAAGTCCCCTGGACACCAAGCATATAGAATCAATGGTAGGCTCTGGTAGGCTCCAGGAGGAAAATGTGCAGTGTAAAATATGTGATGGATAGAGCCATCTTTATTATACATAGGAGCTTATATGGTGGAAGAAGTATGGTAATAGTGAGTTGGGAAAGAAGTGCCTTATCAAAGTCTGCCTTTTATACAGAGATAGAGTTGGGACCTTCTTGTGGAAAAGGGAACTATATAAAAACATATCTTGCAGACAGGAAAGAATTGTGTGGGTTTTAATATTATTGTCCTTAAAGTGTTGTATCCATGTTCATTACTTTCTGACTTTGTAACTGCAAGTAGCTGCCAGATGAGGTAAGTACAGCAAGAACAGGATGTGTCTGGCTCCGGATTTAGTTAAGCCTGCAAAATACTGAACTCTGTGTCTACAAGAAGTTTATGTAGGGGATGGGAAAGTGTATTTGGGGAAGCATAAAGGGGAACAAGGGGGTCTTTTATACTGATTACAATGTATTTCTTAAAATATAAAATATTTCTTAAAAGTCAAAAATAAGGGCCAATATTTATGCAAGCCTGGTAGAAAAAAAAACCAACTCTGTTAAATTATAAATAAAGACAACTCGAGCTATTCCAGGGCACTTAAGTGCAATCCACCTGGGGGTCAGATGTTTTCCTTCCTCTAAGGCCCCTTCCCCTTCTCAGGACCTGAACCTGAGCCAAAGCTGGACCCTGGCCCGCACTCCTCCTTTTCCGCGGGCTTCCCTGAGCTCTGCCTGACATTTGGTTATGGGTCTCTGCGTGGACCTTGGGGCACAACAGTGGTGCCTCTGATTCCAGGAAGGTAGTTTCAAAAACAGACTTCGCTGGGAGGACCAGTGGGAGGGGAAAGAAGAAGGAACAGCAGTAAGGACGAACACAGGAAAACACAATGACATGTGCATGAAAATGTCTCAATGGTTCCCATTACACAGTAACAGAAGAAAAACAGCATCAGCAGAAAAAAACAAAAAACAAAACAGGGTGGCTTTGCATTCTGATGGGGGGTAATGTCCCATCCGGACTGGCTTCCAAATCAGCTGGCAGGGAAGTGAATCTATTTCTTAAGTTAAAACATAAGGTTATTGCTCCTTGATTCACTGTACTGGGGTGAGATCATCTTGAGTTATAGCAACTCAAGTCTGGCAAGTTTGTAACTACGTTTTTAATCTTTTGTTGTAGTTGTTGTTGTTGTCATGAGATGCCTGGGTCTCTCCTAGACTGGCCTTGATCTCACAGAGGTTCACCTGCCTCTGCCTGTCTGGTTCTGGGATTAAAGGTGTGTGCTACCATGCCAGGCTTACTTTTCCATCTTTGTAGTTCTTAACAGTCCTCACCACGGTCTAGGAACACAAAGAACATACTGACTTACTACTTCAGTACAACATTATGTGTCAGGATGGAAACTTTGAGGATGGATTCACAAAAGAAACCTTCACAGTGAACAGCAGCAGCCTGGAGAGTTAGCCGGCAGACTAGAACAGACACAGTTGCTGACACAGGCCATGTAGAAATTCATCAAAACTTAAATAGATGGACTAAATTTACATCACTGACATCCTTATAAGGCAAGTGAACTTGAGATTAGAGAAAATAGACATTTTCCATGGAAATTTAAAAAGTTTCTATTTATTTTTAGTTACTGGAAGAAAGGAGAGAGCATTAGACAAAGATTCACCCCAAACTCTCTCAGGGTGGCAGACCCTGGGCACAGGGTAGGAAGCACCCTGCATCTTGGCGTCACGTGTCCTGGAAATGGCCCCAGTTATTTCAAGTGTCAGCAGAAAACTGAAGGTGACCAGGCTCAGCCTCTCCCTCTACTCCTCAGCTCAGTCCAAGAGAGCCACATGGGTGTCTTTAAGCGAAATGTTGCATAACACATGAGATTAAAAGAAA